TAGGGGTAGCACGGACCGGGGATTAACATAGGCCAGGTGGCGTTAGTCTACCACTTCCGGTTTCGGAGTTATGACCCCCGAGCGAAGCCGGGTATCTGTCTGTCTGTTCGGGGTTGGCGGCTACAGTAGGTCTGCCCCGAGTCTGAAATTTGGGGTATAGGGGTAGCTCGGACCGGGGAGTAACATAGGCCAGGTGGCGTTAGTCTACCTCTTCTGGTTTCGGAGTTATGACCCCCGAGCGAAGCCGGTCTGTTCGAGGTTGGCGGCTACACTAGGTCTGCCCCGAGTCTGAAATTTGGGGTATAGGGGTAGCTCGGACCGGGGAGTAACATAGGCTAGGTGGCGTTAGTCTACCACTTCCGGTTTCGGAGTTATGACCCCCGAGCGAAGTCTGTCTGTTCGGGGTTGGCGGCTACACTAGGTCTGCCCCGAGTCTGAAATTTGGGGTATAGGGGTAGCTCGGACCGGGGAGTAACATAGGCCAGGTGGCGTTAGTCTACCACTTCCGGTTTCGGAGTTATGACCCCCGAGCGAAGCCGGTCTGTTCGGGGTTGGCCCCGAGTCTGAAATTTGGGGTATAGGGGTAGCTCGGACCGGGAGTAACATAGGCCAGGTGGCGTTAGTCTACCACTTCCGGTTTCGGAGTTATGACCCCCGAGCGAAGCCGGGTATCCTGCTAGTAATAATATATTAAAAACAGATATTGCTTTTGATCTTATCCTATCATTATTAATGTCAACACTCGTCGTTTCTAACAATCCAGATAAATAATATTTCGACCCTTTCATTAATATTTTGATTGCTTATTTCTTGGTAGAAACAAAATGTACTCACATACTAAATCGGCGGGTTGTGACACCTAATATTACAGTTGCACTTCTGCGCTTAAGATACATTAGCAACCCAGCATCACTGTATAGTTTCGACTTCGGAGATATGGTCCGTCTTGGCTAGTTGACATGGAGGAGTGTGTTTACTATTTCTAGAATGTATAATACCAATTCTCGATCGTGTACTTCTAGCAATATTTATTGCACCTATATATACAATTTACACTGTTTACCTATTAAATATCGGATTGATTTTATGATTTTACTTACTTTTAAATGTTTAAATAATTTAGCTCCTGTTTACCTCTCAGATTATTTAGAAGTTTATACACCTGGTCGAACATTTAAAGCCCAAAACTGTTCAACTAGTCTCTTATGTTCAGCGCTCTCTTAGTTATCAAGCACCTGTTTTATGGAATAATCTACCATTTTGTTTAAGATGTTGTACATCTCTATATTCTTTTAAAAACAACTTAAAACACATTTATTTAATTAGGCTTTTAACTGACTCTGTACACAATCGTTAACATGTCCATAATTTTGTTGTTTATATATGATTACATTGTCACTTTGTAAAGTGCTCCTGAACATGTTATATGAAAGGGCGCACTATAAATATGCTGTAACAATAATAATAATAATAATAATAATATGTAATCGAAAGCAACGATGGCACACTGAACAAGAGGTCACAGGTTCGATCCTGTTGTTGGCCGAGAAAGTTCCTTGTTCCTCTTTTTCAGGGAGCTTTGATAGTAAAGGGTGGGACGAAACCCGAGGTCTAGTGTACACGTTGGCGTGCACGTGGCAATGGAATGGTCGGTGCTCCCACTAGAGGTTATCCTCTACCAGGATAGCATCCGAAATTAGAACTTTCCATGTTACGTTTTTTATATTTCCGGGGCTTTGCTGGTTGCCATTTCAGGTTCGATGGAAATTCAACTATATTCCAGTATAGTTTAAAAAATTTGTTTACTGAAGTATTGTGCATGGTGCTCTTCAGTTCATATATCTAATATTGATTGTTTTATGCACATTCAAAACCCGTCTTAATGGGGTTTCCATGTTTGACTGGCGTTTGTATCAATACAATGAGCAATCAGTAGTCTGTCCCGGCCACCCCCACTCCCGCTTACAATATCATAATTCTAACAAATTATTCAGTATGAAACGTATAAACATGAGATTTTTTCATACAAATCCACGTACAAAAAATGCAGACAATTTATGCATATAACTATTAATTCCCCGTTTAAGTAGTAAACAAAAATGTCTAGGTGTAATAATAAAAAAATGTGGGTGTATAAAAGCGGACGGAAATGTACAATATAATATTTTTTAATTAAAGCTAAAATGTAGAATTTCAATGCGTCCTTTTTAAACGCTGCTTCTCCATGCGATTCAACTGACAAGTAATTTGAATAGGCGTAATTTGAGTCTATATAACATTATCGTCCGTGACAATTTTTGTTAACTAAGTTTTGATACACTATCAATTGTATTGGTATTATATTCAGTATAATATATTTTATAATTCGCACGTATGGCAGTTATTTAGAACAGTCAGAAAATAAGGCGAATTAAAATTTGATGTTTAACTACACTGAAGAGTTTATTTGTATTACTAAATCTATATCTAATATTTACATTCAAACACGTGAATATATCACCATAACTAGCTATGATTGTTTAATTTTAGAAACAAGCCAACTGAAATAACATAGTCGTATTTGCCAAAAAGGAAATTCTTGTTACTGTTTTTAATGAAATTTGCTACATCGAGCACAAGATTTCTATTTGATTAAAACACCAGTTTAAAAAAAACATAACTTTTAATACAGTAATCAAAAGATTTAAATAGATATAATGATTAAAAAATAAAAGGTTCGTACCTGGATAATAAATGCAGTACCAAGATTTATACTAATGATAAACATTTGGATTTTTTAAAAGCTCTCTAGCAGTGTGTTTAATAAAGATAGTTAAAAACAATTGAAATTAAGTGATAAATTATAAAATTAAATAGGCTCTACAATGAAAACAATGAGCCAATTAGATACGTAAGAGCACAGAGTTTGATTTTAATTACATGCACAGGGAACAACGTGATTCACATTAAATTAAATCAGATTTGTGTGAATTCGTTAGAATGGACCATGGCTATAAATACACAGCATGATTTTCACATGACAGGACGTGGAACTATTTTTGTTTGATTATCAGAATTGGTACTTAATCTTTGGCATGGCACAGATAATAATAGACTACCGTATTGGAATTCTTAAGCTCTTTACAAATATATCATTATTTATTTATGGTCATTTTTATGTTTCAGAAATTGTGACATATTGCCAATAACGAGATTGTGATATGGAAGGACATTTCCAACACCTTCCAGTACTGCTGTTGACATTCATAATCCATAATGGTATTGTATTTTATGTTTTACAATCCAAAAGGATATAGATCAAGTTGATGAACTTTGTTTTTCTAGCACTTTTGTAATTCTGACCCAGTATATATGTTAAAGTGCAGGCCAGGGGCTACATTAATAGATGTGTGTTATTCAGTCAAGCAATATTAATATAAGAAGTTATTTTCTAAAGTTCACGATTTCACATTTAGCTAGAATTACTTCTATCTTAAGGACTTCGCGTAGATAACAAATTGTTCTCGCAAGTTGTCAAACTGGTAGAACAGTAGATTTTAAAATCCAATTGGTCCATCACAGTAGTGTTCATTCATGACGAGGTAGTAGCGTTCATTAGAAATACTTGAACATTAAACATTTCGTAAGATTGCCCGTTAGAAACATGATTTCCGGATTCCAGACAGGTTAAATGACGTCTTCCTTTCGTTTATTCGTCCGTTCGTTCGTTCAATCGTTCGTGGGGTGTAATATCCGCTTCCACTGATGGCGATATCGCAGACAAGTGTTTCCTAGCATAGGCTGTAGATATAGGAAGATAAAGATTTTACTTCCTCCATTTTCTTGATTAAAGGCACAATCGGGTCCTCCGGTTTCCTCCCACTGCTAAAGACCCCTACGCGCAAGTGAATTATTGAAATAAAATTGAACCATGTGTTAGTCTCGAAATGACCTAGTTTGTGTCGAGTGGACGTTACCCCCCTCTCTCTCTCTCTCTCTCTCTCTCTCTCTCTCTTTTTAAAGGCACAATCGCGATAATGTTGCTGTAAGAGGCCATTCATAGAATCACGACAAAGGCATGACTTCTTCCCTTAAATGATTGTTTAATTTTCAGCTTCCACCTTGCCTACATTCACTAACTTGGCTGCATCCACATTAATTAATGAAAACGACCCAGCTGGTACGCTTGTGTTTACAGTAGGGTCCACTCCAGCAGGCAACACCTACACTATCAACCCTCCCTCTACTGAATTCGCTATAGCAGCTAATGGAGATGTTACAAATTTAGTTGTTTTAGATTATGAATCTCAACAGTCATACACATTGACTATAGAGTAAGTGTTTGTAGATAAAAATGTCAAATACAGCATAAAAACATAGGATTAAAGATGCATTATACAATAACTTCAAACATTCATAACTTCGCTTAGAATAAAGTAACTATTTTTGAACTTATATTATAAAGCAAGGAAAACCATCTCTATATCTAAATCTTACATAATGCATCTTTCAAGGTGTTGATTTAATCAAATGTGGGTATTGCTGAGCTTTGCGAATTTGGTATCTGTCTACATGTATCCGTAATATGGCCCATTGTTGAAATAACAATAGTCGACAGTATAAGCCTAAAGTGAAATTAAACTTATGCAATATTACTTCCAAAACGAATGTGTCACAAATAATTTAAAGTTGATATTTTACACACCAAAGCTATTCCATATGTCTATTCCAAACACAGCAAAGCTATTCCATATGTCTATTCCAAACAAATAGACATTAATGACTATTCCAAACACATGACTATTCCAAACTATTCCAAACATATGATTAATATTCAATTATTTTATTTCATACACAGGGCTGATGACGGTACTACGGCAACAGAAACACTAACAGTAAATGTAGTGGATTTAAACGATAACCCACCAACAGTGACTGGCAATGCTCCCATAATTTTAAATGAAAACGTTGCTGTTGGTACAGTTTTAACCCTTCCCTATACAGTGGATGATGTAGATACCATGGATACACCAGCTTCACTTATATATACTATCACAGGTATATAACAAACCAACAAAAAAAACCTACTGGATTACCCTTTCACTCATATACACAAAAGGGGCTAAGCACCTTGCGGGGCTTGGCGTTGAAACCCTGGTAATAAGAAAACATATAGAGTCTATGGAGATTTTAATCATGATTCTTAAAACTATTCTAAAATGTCGTAATTAAGCGAAATGAAGGATTCACAATAAGTATTAGTTGCACTATATACATGTAGAAACACAACGTGATTGATGAGAACAAAATTGCCATTTTCAAAGTAATAACCCTAATAACAAACAAAAACAACTGGATTGTCCTTTGACTTATATATACCATCACATGGAATAACCGACAAAACAACTGTATATCCGGATATGTCTGGTCAAGATTACAAAAGGAAGTCAGAAAAGATTTAATAGGCCCGTTTTAAATTCGACTGAAACCAGACCAGGAGATTATCAAGTGTTGATATTTTGATTTTGTTTTCTTAATCAAACATTATATGATCAATCGGAGTACACATTATCATGGATTAACCCGTAAGAAATGTGATATTTAACCGAAAATGCAAATAGTGCATTGTTACTTTAATGCCCTAGCAAAACAAAATATAGCTTAAATGGGCATTATGGGAGGTAAAGAGTTGACACTTCTCGCTATAATAGTTAAAAAATAATAGATAACGTAAATAGTTTAGGCTAATAATTTCAGTCAAATTGCTCCACTCTGAACCGAGATATTAGCTTTTGAATTTTAGGTTAGCCTCGATTATCATTACTAAAGTCGGTGCGATAAAAACTAAGTCTCGATTATTCATTTTTATGTTTAATCATCCTTCACAAATTGTATTCCAATCCGCTAAATATCACAGGCTAGCGATGGCATCGAGATTTGATTATGGTCTGGATAAGTTAATTAGTGTCTAATTAATAATTTAGATAACATTTCAGGCCTAAAGAGATATCTGAAATAGGCAGATTTAGCGCTTGCATAATGTATGTTTAAGTATAGAGTTTGGTCTGTATTCCTTCCGGTAATTTTGGTAACTTTATTTTCAGGGACTGATTCGTCATATTTCCAAATAGATACGGGAGTATCTGGGCAGATAACGGTTGCTAAAGGTTTGGATTATGAAAACAAAAATAGCTATTCATTTGATTTAGTTGTTACCGATGCAGCATCAGCTTCAGTTACTGAAACATTAACGGTGAACATAAATGACATTAATGACAACACCCCTGTCTGTTCTCCAGCTGTATATTATACTAGTGTTGATGAAGAAGAACCCTCAGGTAAAATTGTTATCGAGCACTCATCTTTAAAGCCACCACCAGTGGATGTATTTATTAAAACAAACATCTATCAGTAAACGTGTTGATAAAAATAAACAACCATCAGTAAGCGTACTGATTTAAATAGACAACCACCAGTGAACGAATTAATTAAAAATAAACAACCATTATTAAACGCAGTCATTTAAATAAACTTATTGATTTAAGAGATTATCCATCAGTAAACGTATTGATTAAATAAACATCCATCAGTAAACGTACTGATTAAATAAACCTATTGATTAAATAAGCATCCATCAGTAAACGTAATGGGAATGGGAGGTGGATGTTCTATTTTTTACCATTTAATTGTATGAAAATCATCTGAATCATTCAGTCCTATTATTTCTGAATTGTGTTCAATTTCAAACAGCCTATATTCGTTTTCAAATTGCTTGTTTTCATATCACGTGACCTGTTCACATCTAAGTATATAGTATATACTTTGTTACAGGTGTCAATATACAGGCTCTCACCTGCTCAGATGCTGATATAACTGCAGCTAACAACGTGCTTACCTATACAATAACTAGCGGTGATGATACAGCCAATAAGTTTCAAATAACCGGTTCAACAATACAAACCAGTGCTAATGCTATTGATTATGAGAGTCTTGGTGGAGTGTCTTATCAGTATACTCTACTAGTTGATGTAGTAGATTCAGGGACACCGTCTCTAACTAGTACAGCAACAGTAATTGTACAAGTTCTACCTGTAAATGAAAATACGCCAGTATTTGCAGCAATTGCTACACCTTACACTATAAGAGAAGATGAATCTATTGGAACAGTAGTGGATACTATCGCAGCTTCTGACGGCGATAGTGGTTCTGATGGGACAATATCATATCAGATAACATCGACTGTTGACAGTAAGTATTTTATCTATTGTTGACAGTCAGGATATAGACATAAAAACTGTGTTAGCTATGTGAAGTAGTATATCTAACTTAGTCTAACTAATTGTTTTAGAAACAATAATCAAGCCCGTCCCGTGGACGACACTATAGCTAACTAAATCGATGGTTTAGATATGGGATAACATATATTGTTGTCCTAAAAGCGTGTTTACTTTTATTATTGTATACATTCATTTCATATGTCAAGTGATTTATTGGAGCACTTAGGCTTGTTTTCTTTTATTCTTTAAAGGTTCATCAAATACTGTAAACAACATTTTTCGAATAGATTCTAGTACCGGTGTTTTATCTACCATGACAACGTTAGATCGTGATGGTGGAATATCATTTTATGACGTAACCGTCAGAGCAAGTGATGGTAATATCACTCCATTATTTGTCGATACGGTAATCCGAATAAATATTAATGATTATAACGACAATGCTCCTAAGTTTACCCTTGCAAGCTATCCAATCATCACAGTGTTAGAATCTAGTCCTATCTTAACCAGTGTCATTTTGTTAACTGCTACGGATGCCGACTCATCAGCAACCTTGTCTTATGATGTTGAAGACGGGGATACTTCTAAATTTGAATTTAGCACAACTACCATTGGCCAACTGCAGTTAAAGTCAGTAATTGATTTAGATAACCCAACAAATGATGCCAACTATTACCCTTTAAGAGTCATTGTTAAAGATGGCGGAATTCCCGAACTCACAGGAACAGTTTCGGTCACTGTTAGTATTACTGCTGTTAATCAACATGATCCAGTGTTTGGTGCCACAGTTCCGTCTGCTACAGCCAGCGTAAGTTATTCATTTTTGTTTCAAAACGATCTGTTGGTGTCACTGTTTCCCATAATGCAATGACAGAAATGTACTTTGGCCTTGATCGTCTTAATTTTCATTTTTGTGAGTTCCAATTTGAATGTGCACATCATTTTATGTGTTAATAAGCCAAGATCCGACATTAACAAACGTTTTACGGTCTGAGTTCAAACAATAGAATTGATATTTATTTCAGCTTGCAGAAAATGCTGCAGTAGGAACACTGATAGCAACAGTTGTAACCACAGACAATGATTATGGAATAGACGGTGTTGTCAGGTATTCTATAACAGGTAATTGGCCACCCAGTCTACGTCTACATCACTAGTTACTGGCGTTTGGGCACAATATACAATCATTTTATTAAATTGTTTTAAAATAATCGAACATATGCTACGCCGCATTCATAATTATTCATAAACACCAATTCAGTGATCCGAGTTGAAAAAGACCTAGCAATACCCTTAGATTACTCATCTAGAAGAGAACCCAAAAAACTAATCATCTTTCGTTTTGTTTATCTTTCTGGTCTGAGATTTTAAAAAACCTTTTTTTTGTATTTATCTTAAGGTGGTGATGCTGGAGGATTTTTCACCATAGATACAGTCCTGGGTAAAATAACTACAACTAAAAATCTGGATTTTGACTCCCAACCTGTGACTAATCTGGAAGTAACAGCCACCGATAGTGGAACCACACCAAGATCGATGACGTCAACAGTTACTGTGTCAGTTACAAATGTTAATGATAACACGCCATCATGTTCATCATATTCTATTTTGGTGAATCTTCTAGAGACTGCAGCTGTATCTGATCCGGTAGGTACTTACTGATATCTGATAGAAAACTTGTAAGATGGAAATGTAGATCTATGTATCTTTTAATGATTTGGAATTAAACCATTTTTCTTATCTCATCAGGTTACAACTTTGGCATGTACAGATAGTGATACTGCAGACATATTAACATATTCTATTTCCAACGGCGATCCTTCAACAGACTTTGTTATATCCACAGCTGGCGCAATAACCCTGAATAAAGGTACCTTACAGAACGTTTGTTTTCGCTAAATGATAGATAAAGCAACATTTTCTGAACTAACCATTAAAATGCCATTTTGCTATGCTTTTGACAAACAAGCCCAAATGGCTGATTTATTATATTTATGTTACAGTTGTGGATTATGATTCAGCCGTCCAATCATATAATTTAGAAATAACTGTCACAGACGGTACAAATCCAGTCACAGTTTTTGTAATAGTTAATCTAGGACCAGTAAATGACGTCACACCTTCTTTCGTCAGTAATCCTACTATAACCAGAGCAGAGAATACCAGCCCTGGAGTTTTACTGACATATACAGCTACAGATACTGACTACAGTCCACATGATATTACACAATATAAAATAACTTCAGGTTAGTTTCAATGTTTTAACACGGTATCGGATTAGTCAATTTGTAACAACACATGATATGCAAAATAGCCCAGTATTAGATATCGGATTTTTCAAATACTTTCAGTTAAAACTTCAAATGTTTCACACAGTATCAAATATGCTTCAAAATCAAATACTTTCGGCTAAAAGTTAAGTTAGATCAAATATTTTAACATCGTATCAAACAAACTATACAAATGCCCTCAGATAAATCGACATATGCTCTGTTTATACTCTTTATTCAAAGCGGCATTAAATGACATATATCAGTCAATCTGTTTCATACTCCTAATCGTTTATTCCCGAACTATTTCTGTATTCAGTGACTCAATCTGGAACATCATTGTTTAGTATTGACTCATCGGATGGAAGATTGTTACTTGTTGGTAATCTTGACTACGATATTCTACCAACAGCAACCAAATTTTACTTGATTACAGTCGAAGCTATTGATGGGGGTGCTTTAACGGTAAGAGTTCTGTGTGAGATAGTATGATTATAATTCAATGTTTTGTTTGTTTCAGAGATCTGGAACGGTAACTGTTGTGGTTTGTTTTTGTTTCAGAGAACCGGAACTGTCAGTGTGGATGTTTTGTTTCTTTTAGGGAATTGGAACTGTAACTGTTAGTTTAACTGATATAAATGTTTTGTTTCTTTCAGGGAATACTGACTATTAGTGTAACTGATGTAAATGTTTGTTTCAGGGAACTGGAACTGTAACCGTTAGTGTAACAGATGTAAATGATAATACACCAACATGTACACAACCTACTTATACAGTGGACTTCGATGAAAACCAAGGTATCGTATAATCCATCCTAAAGTGAACTACAAAGTCCATAAATGACAAATCAGAATATTAGTATGTCGGCGGACGTTCCAATATCAAAGTTCATAGAAACAAAATGATAAATCTGGGCAACAGTATGTGGATTTTACTACTGGAACGATAGTCATTCTAGTGCCAAAGTAGTATCGGGTGTTGTACGACACCTACAACTGCTTTGGAAGGGGGGACTAGGACGAAGATTTAATTAACGTTGGTCTAAAGATGGCCATTACATACTTTTATTATGGGAACATTAAACCAGGGTAGCAAATAAAATAACACGGGGTTTAACGTCCTACTGTTTGGCACCGACTGGGCAACTGAAACGGGCAAATGCCAAACAGTGTTTTATGAGGGAACTTCTGCTCGGACAGCGGTCTTTTCCTATTTCGAATTCCCCCGTCCTGCACCACTGACAAGGGCGGGGGGGGGGGGGTCACACTGAAAATCTCGATGTACTTTCACAGCCAGCACCGGGATCGAACCCGGGTTAGCCAACCAGTGCCTTACTCACTGGCCCGCGGCGACTCCATAACAAAAGCAATGCCATAGGTTTGTGACGTTTCTTCGTGTCACGAGCATTACAAGGACACAAACCATGTACGTTTTATACATGTTCGAAGTAATCAAATACATGCATGTTATTTATGTCGTTTACATTGCAGGTATGAGTGTTAATGTTCAAACACTTACTTGTACAGACCAGGATGGTCCCATTCCTACCCTTGCTATTGTAAGTGGTGATGACGCAACAAATAAATTCCAGATTAGCGGTTTGGCAATACAAACCAGTGCTAATGCTATTGATTATGAGAGCCTTGGTGGACAATCTTATCAGTATACTCTACTAGTTGATGTAGTAGATTCAGGGACACCGTCTCTAACAAGCACAGCAACAGTAATTGTACAAGTTCTACCTGTGAATGAAAATACTCCAGTATTTGCAGCAACTGCTTCACCTTACACTATAAGAGAAGATGTATCTATTGGAACAGTAGTGGATACTATAGCAGCTACTGATGGCGATAGTGGTACTGATGGGAAAATATCATATCAGATAACATCTACTGTTGATAGTAAGTATGAAATATAGGATAACATGAGAAATATGACTACTGAGGCATTTACTCTCTAGTAAAATACATGTTACAAATGGATGATATGTTTAATTAATCTATGACAAAGAGTTTTGTCACAAAAGGAACCACTTAGTAGAGTTGGATAATACCGTTTTTTCAATTCTGCGATTAAACCATTATAATTACTTTAATCATTTTCTTCCCACTAAAGGTTCATCAAATACCGTTAGCAACATTTTCCGGATAGGTTCCGGTACCGGTGTTTTATCTACCATGACAACTTTAGATCGTGATGGTGGAATATCATTTTATGACGTAACAGTTAGAGCAAGTGATGGTAATGCCACGCCTCTTTTTGTTGATGAAACAATTAGAGTAAACATTGATGATGTTAATGACAATGCTCCAGCATTTACGCAAGCAAGTTATCCAATCACCACAGTATCAGAATCTAGTACAGTCGGAACCAGTCTCATTTTAGTAGCTGCCACAGATGTTGACCAATCGTCAACCTTGTCTTATGAAATAGAAGTTGGGGATACTGCTAAATTTGAATTTAGCGCAACTACCATTGGTCAACTACAGTTAAAGTCAGTAATTGATTTAGATAACCCAACAAATGATGCCAACTATTATCAACTAGGAGTTATTGTTAAAGATGGTGGAACGCCTGAACTAACGGGCACAGTTTCCGTCACTGTTAGTATTACGGCTGTTAATCAACATGATCCGGTGTTTGGAGCTACTCTTCCATCTGCTACGGCAACGGTAAGTTATTTATTGTTCCGTTTGATCCACGGCACACTATTTGCGAAAATGCGTTTTGAACGATTATTTGGGTGGCCATGAAGCTCAGTCGTCCAAAGTAAAAGTTTAACAAACTTAAAGCGTCTAACAAGTAACAATGAAGAAATCAATGTAGTGATCACGGACCATGAACAAAGAGAGAGAGAGAGAGAGTGAGAGAGAGAGAGAGAGAGAGAGAGAGAGAGAGTTTAACGTCCACTCGACACAAACTATATCATTTCGGGACTAACATATGGTTTAATTTTATTTCAATAATTCGCTTGCGCGTAGGGATCTTTAGCAGTGGCAGGAAACCGGAGGACCCGGAGAAAACCCACGAGGTTGGACAGGCGACCCTACTCCTTGTCACGTACAACCGGGGATTCGAAATGACGCCAGTTGACTCAATGACAGGCTTTATGATAAAGCACGCACGTGCTAACCATTCGGCAATCCGACCCCCCCACCATGAACAAACTATAGCGTTAAGTACATTCTCATCTGCCTTTTGTTTAATAGGTTCCTGTGATCCTGTCATATAGCATAGTACAAGGATATATCGCTGCAGACGATGTGAAGTATCCTAGCAGCTTTGTCATTGGTCAAGACTAGCATATTAGAGTGTATTCTTTTGTTTCAGTTTCCGGAAAGTACAGGAGTGGGGACATTAGTGGCCACAGTTGTAGCCACCGACAATGATTTTGGCTCAGACGGAGTTGTAACGTATTCTTTAACAGGTAAATAATATGGCCACGATCCCATGATTTACAATTTAACATAGCTTTATGCTTTATAATCAGCTGAAATAGGTTCATGTTTATAAATTCAACGGTTGAATGGGTGAAATAAATTTGTATATTCGCAAGACCGGTGTTATTCATGTTGTCCCTTTGTCAGCAAAATGAAGTATTTGGCCACAAATACCATACTATATGTGTCTTGTTTTATTGGCACTATATATTTGTACTTTTTGTAGGTGGTGATGCTGGGGGATTTTTCACCATAGATACAGTTTTAGGTAAAATAACAACAAGTAAAAATCTTAATTTTGATACCCAACCGCTAACTAATCTGGAAGTTACAACCACTGATAGTGGTACTATACCAAGATCGATGACGTCAACAGTTACTGTGTCAGTTACAAATGTTAATGATAACACGCCATCATGTACATCATATTCTATTCTGGCGAACCTTCTAGAAACTGCAGCTGTATCTGATCCGGTGAGTTCTTTATGGAATATATATGTTAGTTCATATGTTGCCACAAGTTTACAAAGCAATCATATAATGATATCCTCGAGGGATTAATCTGAATAAAGACCCACGTTTCAGAATGTGATACTTTTATAGACAGACATGACTTCTTCAGTACAACAGGTAATTCGTTAATAGAGGATTCGCGTCATAAAGAACAAAATAGACACACACGAAATATTTCTAGCCCATTCTTGATATTTAGAATGAAAAGTAAAACCATTTTTCTTCTATGGGTAGCGCCATTTATGTTGTTTCTGTAAGTAGGTCTTCTGGTGGAGACAGGGATAAAGGATACATTTGATGTATTTATATCAATAGATAACAAATGTTTTATGTTTATATTAACAGGTGACAACTTTAACGTGCACAGACAGTGATACGGGAGATGTTTTGGCTTATTCCATCTCAAATGGTGATCCATCTAGCACCTTTGCCATTTCTGCAGCAGGGACGATCTCAACAAGCAAAGGTAGGGTTAACGTCAATTTTGTTTAAATGTTTCGATGCAGATTGATATGATAAATTCAATTCTATGTTCTCTGTTTCTTTTACAGTTGTGGATTATGATTCTGCCATTCAATCATATAACTTAGAAATAAGTGTCACAGATGGTATAAATCTAGTCAAGGTCGCTGTTACAGTAATCATTGATCCAGTAAATGAGCTCACACCTTCTTTCGCCAGTAATCCTACTATAACCAGAGCAGAGAATACCAGTCCTGGAGTTTTACTGACATATACAGCTACAGATACTGACTACAGTCCACATGATATTACACAATATAAAATAACTTCAGGTTAGTTTTAATATTTTAACACGGTATCTAATATTAAACAACCTAGTGTTCAATATCTAAACACTACAATATAGACTCTCATTATTAAACTGTCATCATTTTCAGTCACTCAATCTGGGACATCATTGTTTAGTATTGATGCATCTGATGGAAGATTACTGCTTATTGGTAACCTTGACTACGAAATTCTACCAACAGCAGCCAAATTTTATTTGATTACAGTCGAAGCTATTGATGGCGGTGCTTTAACGGTAACTTTGTAGATACTAAATTTCTAGAAGATTCTGCTAGACCTGACAGGATCTGAATCTAATACTAATGATAGGGTTATTATCAAGTGGTCCATAACTGATTTGAATGTAAATGTAATGCAAACCACAATGAATGATTTTTGGTTTCTGTTTGCACGGAACAGGAATAGCAACTGCTAGTGTAACTTATGTGAATGTTTTGTTTGTTTCAGTGAATAGTAACTGTTAGTGTAAATGTTTTGTCTGTTTCAGGGAACGGGAACAGTAACTGTTAGTGTAACTGATGTAAATGATAATGCACCAACATGTATCCCATCAAGCTACAGTATAAGCATCAACGAAAACCAGGGTAAGTGACAGACACAAAAGTTTCAAAACCAATTCAAAGCTACGAGATATAGCAAAATAACATTATTGTGTTTTTAATCTTTGGAAATAAATGATAATACAGAATACTTCACATTTGTTGCTGTTTTATTATGTATTTCAGGTACAGGTGCGAATGTCCAAACCCTTGCATGTTCAGATTTGGATGGATCGAGTGTCACCTACGCAGTAGTTGGTGGTGATGACCCATTAAATAAATTCGAGGTTGTGGGTACATCGATACAGACCAGTGCTAATGCTATAGATTATGAAAGTCTTGGTGGAGTGTCTTATCAGTATACTCTGCTGGTTGATGTAGTAGATTCAGGGACGCCGTCTCTAACAAGTACAGCAACAGTAATTGTACAAGTTCTACCTGTAAATGAAAATACTCCAGTAATTGCAGCAACTGCTTCACCTTACACTATAAGAGAAGATGTATCTATTGGAACAGTAGTGGATACTATAGCAGCTACTGATGGCGATAGTGGTACTGATGGGACAATATCATATCAGATAACATCTACTGTTGACAGTAAGTATATCGTTAAAACATCATATAAGATACTGTTGATAATAAGTACTGCGTGTAAAATGTAAGATGAAAGTCAGTTTGAGCTGATGTAGTATATATTCAAAAATAGGTCGAGAGAGTTATGTCATATAAATCCACGGTTGACATTGATGATGATGGAATTCTTGGTCGACATAGTAATGACTGTTCTGATGCAGCCTTAATATTCTATCGTGCATATAAATGCAACATAGCATAGCGGTATTCGGGATTTGTTTGGATAGAAATGTCATAAAACAAATGGGTAAAAGGGACAGCGGTAATTTTAAATATAATTTCAAAACTCTGATACAGCAGCAATTTGAATAAACATTGATACTGAATGTCATAAATGCCAATATATTCATTTTCATTTTGTGTTTCTCTAAAGGTTCATCAAATACTGTAAGCAACATTTTCCGGATAGATTCTAGTACCGGTGTTTTATCTACCATGACAACTTTAGATCGTGATGGTGGAATATCATTTTATGACATAACAGTTAGAGCAAGTGATGGCAATGCCACGCCTCTTTTTGTTGATGAAACAATTAGAGTAAACATTGATGATGCCAATGACAATGCTCCAGCATTTACACAAGCAAGTTATCCAATCACCACAGTATCAGAATCTAGTACAGCCACAACTAGTCTCATTTTAGTAGCTGCCACAGATGCTGACCAATCGTCAACCTTGTTTTATGAAATAGAAGTTGGGGATACTGCTAAATTTGAATTTAGCACAACTACCATTGGCCAACTACAGTTAAAGTCAGTAATTGATTTAGACAATCCAACAAATGATGCCAACTATTATATTTTAAGTGTCATTGTTAAAGATGGCGGAATTCCTGAACTAAGAGGAACAGCTTCTGTCACCGTTAGTATTACTGCTGTTAATCAACATGATCCAGTGTTTGGTACCACCACGCCATTTGCTACAGTAACGGTAAGATATAAGAATTTAAAATAAAGGTTATCATAGGCAACAAATACTCATGGTCACGACAGTATTTTGCTGCGTGAGGGGGAGGGTGGTGATAGTGAATAGGATGTACCCTTGCGTTTTCTACGGCTCTAGATCTTAACTGTGAAATAGCGATAATTGCGTAATAAGGGCAATTACTCTGTTATCAATCGTTCATGACGCCAAATGTAGATATTCTATAACTCCTCATGAATCATCACATGGCGCAAAATTTGTGTAACAAAGACTTTGAATTTCATTCTAAAACCCGTGGCCAGTATGATTTCACTCAGATGTGAATGAATTGTAAGTATTAGAGACCTTTACAAGTTAGTTGTCTATCCCATTACGATAGGTATTTAAGATACCAGTATTTGAGCATTGTTCAATAATATGCATTTCAGTATCCTGAAAATGCTGCAGTTGGTACATTAGTTGCAACAGTTGTAGCCACGGACAATGATTTTGGTGTAGACGGGGTTGTTAGGTATTCTATAACAGGTAGGTAAAAATGATCATTATGCCAAATATGTTAATCTCCAGTGAATCGATTTATTGACTTGATGGCCAAATTCTCTTTGCTTTTCTTATGATCAGAGTATTAAACCTAGACATAAGACAAATGCTACCCACCCAATGGTCAACAGTAATATGTTTGACCTCCCTCGCATAAAGTTTAACAGCAAGTACAATATTGCCCTCGCGAATGTTGAATTTGAAATCTTCCGATTAAATATGAGTGTTTGAATAACACAAGTCCCTGCTATCTGCAATATCACTTTACTTGATGAAGCGGAGGTTATATTAATATATTTAACACAATACCAGTTTATCCTTATTTCTTTCTAAAGGTGGTGATGCTGGCGGATTTTTCACCATAGATACAGTTTTAGGTAAAATAACTACAAATAAAAATCTGGATTTTGACACCCAACCGCTAACTAATCTGGAAGTAACAGCCACCGATAGTGGAACGACACCAAGATCGATGACGTCAACAGTTACCGTGTCTGTTACAAATGTTAATGATAACACGCCATCGTGTACATCATATTCTATTTTGGTGAATCTTCTAGAAACTGCAGCTGTATCCGATCCGGTAAGTTCATTAAATGCTGGAACACACGGGTTAGTCATAGTTTATGTCAGTTTTGTAAAATGCACTAATGCAAGCCATGGTTAAGCTATATGTTATACTGATGTAAATGAAAATAAAATGAAATGAGGTTTAACGTCCTACAATTCTGCTCAGACTGGGCTAATGAAGATAGATATACGCCATACAGTGTGCTATGAGGGAAATTTTGCCCGGACAGCGGCGCTACGGCCTACTCTTATATCGAATTCCCGATGAACCCTCTCAGCCAACACCGGGAGACACCTCGCCACCTACAGACTGGCGAGCGTCTTATCCAATTAGCCACCGTGGCTCCCTTATATAAAAGAGGCAACACGTTCAATACACTTGTCTACGATATCACCCTTGGTGGAAGTGGACGTAAAACTCCAAGAACGAACAAAAGAACTTCAACACATTCAGTTATGTTACAAGGGATACTGATCATTATATATTGGAAGACGTTTTAGTTATATTTATATTCATAAAATTGGATAACAAGTTTAACAAATACTGACAGTGAAACAGGAGATGTTTTTGTTATATTTATATTAATAGGTAACAAGTTTAACATGCACGGACAGTGATACAGGCGATGTTTTGGTATATTCTATCACAAGTGGTGATCCATCTAGCACTTTTACTATTTCTGCCGCTGGAGCAATTACTCTACTCAAAGGTAATATAGACTGCTTAGTTTGACAATCCGTTAACATTCAACACTAAATGTGTTTACAATGTAAACTCCTTCAGTGAGGATGGGAATCGGGTATTCTTGGAAAAGCATACACGACTTTAACCATTTTATTTCTGTAATTAACAAATTGTTGTTTTATATAAGTTCAAATAACCGAACCATAAATACAATTGATTAAAACACAGATCCTATTTCGTTTCATTTTTCATAGTTCAAAATTTCGTTTTACTTGTCTTCACTCCACTAGGATCTGGAAGAGTTGTTATCATTGACGTGTTCTGGATGATGTGAGGGATTAGCCAATAAAACCGTCTGTTACGGCGAGCTCTTGACGTGAGGTGCACGGAACTGTGGGTAATCCACTTGACACATCAATGCTGATTTGTTAATCAAATGTCTGACGCCATAGGGCCAAAAGCCGCTCGTATAACCTCTGACGCGCCACCCCAAAACAACTGTTCAGATCTTCATGTAGTGTAGGCCATCGAAAGTATAAAAAACGAAACGAAATATAGATCTCTATTTTAATTAGACTGAGAGAAATACGGGACCCACATTAGTATTTATATACTTAGTACTTAAACATTTATTTTCTCTTAAAGACCTTTTTTTCATTTACAGCTGTGGATTATGATTCAGCCGTTCAATCATATAATTTAGAAATAACTGTCACAGACGGTACAAATCCAGTCAAAGTTTATGTAATAGTTAATCTGGGACCAGTAAATGATGCTACACCTTCTTTCGTCAGTAATCCTACTATAACCAGAGCAGAGAATACAAGTCCTGGAGTTTTACTGACATATACAGCTACAGATACTGACTACAGTCCACATGATATTACACAATATAAAATAACATCAGGTTAGTGTAATGATAGCCTACATTCTCACGAAAATATTTATCGGGTGGTTATTTCCAATAAAAGTATGGCAAATTTGGAAATATTGAAAGTATGGACAGGACGCCCAAGCGTACTAGAAAAATACTGGATTATCCAAATAACACCCATGGGGCAAGCACTGGGCAAATATGTCAGGGTATCACTAACTGGCAACCCGACGGCTTATAGTCTGTCAGCTTGTTGTTTCGTGATCAACTGGTTAGGCGGTTTTGGGAACATTGAGTGGTGTAACAGACGACTCTGCAATTAAATGGCGGAAAAAGAAGTTGGCAGAAAATAATTTACATGGGCTTCAATATGTATGGTAAATGGATAGTAGGTAATGACTATAATACATTCTGAAAATAATTCAATTGTCTTTACATTTCCTCAGTTAGTCAATCTGGGACATCACTGTTTAGTATTGATGCATCTGATGGACGAATACTGCTTATTGGCAACCTTGACTACGATGTTCTACCAACAGCAACAAAATTTTACTTGGTTACAGTAGAAGCCATTGATGGTGGTGCTTTAACGGTAAGCATGATGCAGAGTTTATATAAGGTATAGAGTTTATATACGAACGATGCTTTTTACTTATAATACATTATATGACCACATATTTTCCAGGGGACGGGAACAGTAACTGTTAGTGTCACTGACATAAATGATAATTCGCCATCCTGTGCACAGTCTAGCTGGACTGTGAACATCAACGAAAATGAAGGTAGGTTGAAATTAGCTGATATTTTACATGAAATTACATTCCTGGATCAGACAAAGTATACCCGTAACTTTAAACAATGTATATATTGCATTCACAGGAACACCATATGCTGCTGTAAGCCTTGGTTGTACTGATGCAGAAGATGGAACAACATTAACATACAATTTGGTTCAAACTCCTGGAAGTCTCTTCGCTATTTCAACAACTGGAGACATTTCATTAACAAGTAAGTTAATATAAAGTGGATCCCTGAACCGGAAGTAGTATAAATCTAAAACCGGAAATTGCAGTGCCGCGCCACAAGGACTATGTCACTCCCCGTCTCGAACCGTTCTGACATCTCAAATTTCAGCTTCGCTAACCCAAACTTAACCCAGAACCGAAAGTAGTATAACTTCGAAACCAGAAATGGTAGCGCAACGCCACCAAACTACTTCACAGCTCCCCGATTAGAACTGCCCTTATACCCCAAGTTTCAGCCTAGGGTCAATCCTAGTGTAGCCGCCATTATCGAAGACACAAACAGACAAACGAAAGTCACAAAAATATATATAGACACTCATTTGATCTTTTGTATTGTATCCATAAGACGGAGTAAGAAATGTCCTACGTTGTATTGTATACTAAAAAGCCTTTAGTTGTACTTTAACTTGATGTTATTTATAATCCGTTGTCGTGGTAATCTATTGTTTTGTGTTTGAATAAAACTGATATTAATAGATTTGTTTTCTACTCATAACTGACATTGTTTTGTTTTTTGTTGGTTTTTTTTTAAATTTTTTAATTGTTTCTTCTATTATAGGTGCATTGGACTACGAAATAGCCACGTCTCACACACTAACTATTAGTGTTACTGACACGGGAAGCAATTCCATATCTGTAACAGTTAATGTCAACGTTGTCAATATAAATGAGGCAGGACCAGTATTTACCGGACCGTTCGCATCAACAATATCAGAAGCAGCAGTAATCGGAACGTCCGTAGCAGATGTTGTTGCTAACGATCCTGACACAAATAGCGATTTTGGAATTCTTGAATATTCAATTATCAACGGAGATCCTTCTAACCAATTCTTCATTGATTCGAGCACAGGTCGAGTTTTTACCAAAGCTGTTTTAGACAGGGAAACGACTCCATTGTATAATATAGTTGTTCATGCGAAAGAAAAAAGTGGGGCTAACACGGCAACTGTCACGTTGGCTGTGACGGTGTCAGATGTCAATGACGTCGTTCCAGTGTGTGGCCAATCTAATTTTGCAGTAACGGTAACGGAAGATAAGGCTCCGAGTTTTATTGTTTTGAATATTGGTTGTACAGATACAGATACCACTGGTACTTTGACATATACTATTACTTCTGGTGATACGACCAAATTTGAAATGACTGGTGCTGATCTTAGCTTGAAGCAAGTTATAGATTTTGATGCTGGTACACGAAAATATGACCTGATTATAACAGTATCAGATGGCATCAATACTTTGGCTATTGAGGGGACAGTAAATGTTGGAGCTGTCAATGAAGCAGCCCCAGTATTTGTTGGAGGTAGGTTCTTCACTAACATTTAATACACACCAGCCGGGCACAAGACACGGCATGCTTCCATTAAATAACTACTTGATTTGAGGATTTTCTCATGTAGCGAATTCACGTGTTACTCGATTCTGCCGAATTTGATAGAATCGGTATTTATACCGATAACACACACAGGTCCATATAACTCCGTATTCAAACATTTTTAATGGTTCAATTTATTTTTTATTTTAAGCTCCTTATGTTGTGACTTTTACGGAAACTACAGCAATATCTACAGTAATCCAAACAGTTGTTGCGACAGACGCAGATTCAGCGGATACAAGTGACGGGAAAGTTGTGTACTCATTCACAATACCCAACCCACAGTTTAACATCAATGCCAATACTGGTGATGTTATTTTGTTGACTAGCCTGGACTATGAAACTGCGCCTTCCCATGTACTCAACATACAAGCATCTGATGGTACAAATAACGTGGCAACTACATTGACGTTAACTGTTGGAGATGTAAATGATAATACACCTATCTTCAGTCCCATGGTATATAGGTAAATATTTTCATATATTTATTTATATTGCTGATTTTTTTGTCACTAAATAATTCCCATGGTATATGTGTATATTATTTCAAATATTTATACTGGTAGCGGTTTGTAACTAAACAGTGTTTCCAAGTTTATTGGTTGTTTAGTAGACGTCATTAATTATGCTTCTAGACACTGAGCATGAAAGTCGCTCATCCTGATTGGATTTGCCTGTAAACGAAAAGTAATTATTCGATATATATATGACAAGCATGACGACTATAGTTACTCCATAGTTAATTTTCCCTTGATATGCAACAGCGTACAAGTATCCCCATCGTACGAGTTGTTTTATTTTCAGTTTATGAAGGATATCAGAATATCCTCATTTTATAAGGTCTTGGTCCTTACAAACAAAATCAGAGGGGGGCAACCACTTTATGTACATTATCAGTAATTTGGGGACATAATAATTAAACAGGCATTATGCAAGAGCTAAATCTGCCTATTGCAGGGCTTTCTTTAGGCTTGAAATATTATATAAACTATTAATTAGACGTTTTATTAACAAAACACGACCATAATCAACTCCCGGTGGCATCGGATATTCTAGATTTTAACTAGATTGGAACGGTTCGCCATTTAAAAATGGGAAAGCGAGGCTTAGCCTCGAATATACCAGTCCCCTGGTTATCACAATGCACACATCTTGTCAAAACTACAAACAATGATAACTTGGCTCAGAATGAAGTAATCTGAATGCAATTTTTAATATTTTCATTTTACATTATCTATTTTGAGCTATTATAGCAAGAACTGCCAGCTCTTTATCTAAATCTTACATAATGTTTCTTTAAGATTACATGCTTTATTATAAACATCCATTTCTAGTGCCACTATATCAGAAGGCGACCCAGTCAATACCAATATTGCAACCGTAACAGCGACTGATGCCGACAATGGAGCTACGATTAATGGCCAGATACGATTTTCTATCATAGGTAGGTAGATACAAAGTAATTTTAATAAACGATGCACGAAAACTAACAAACACGGTCAAAGTAAATGACACAATAATATACGATTTGGATGGAATTAATTTCAAACTCTAATTTTCGCACTACTCAATAGGTATATATTCCCCTAAAATATATAGGGATTAAAACAATAGAAGCCATCACCGAGACGACCTAAATATAATAAAACACGATAGGTATTTGAATCACTGATAAGAAATATCGAAAAACTAAATTTTTGAATGACAGTTCCCAATCCTTGACACAAAATATTATATATATAATCCTTTTCATTCTAATTACAGGTGGAACCGGAGACTTCACAATAGATGCAACGACTGGTGCCATAACAAATACTAATACACTGGATTATGAAACGGCAACCTCCCATATTTTAAGCATTCGGGCGGTCGACAGAAATGGGGATGCTTCTTCAAAATCTTCCACGGCCATTGTGACCGTTATAGTTACCAGCCTCAATGAACTGGATCCAGTATTTTCACAAACAACATATACCTTCAATACACCAGAAAATTCTGCTCTTGGAACTTCTGTAGGACAAGTAGTTGCTACTGATGCTGACGCAGGAGATGATGGGTCTGTTTACTACTCAATGTTAGCTAATACATACTTTTTTCTTAATACTGCCTCTGGAGAAATAAATATAAAATCTGCCCTGGACTATGACACTTTACCAAATCATTCATTTGAAGTTGTGTCATATGATCGCGGCACCGCACCTCAACGTAGTGCAACAGCAACAATCAATGTCGTTTTAACAAATATCAATGACGCGTCACCAGTATGTGCACCGACCTTGGTTGTGGTTACACAGAGAGAGGATGCGAGTGGACCGATGACTACTCTCAATTGTAATGACGCCGACAGCCCGACTTTATCTTATGTAATAGAAAGCGTAGATAGTGTACCGGGAAACGGTATATTTTCTGTTGGGGGTACAGGTGTTGTAAGCCTTACGGGAACATTAAATTACGAAACTGCTACTTCACATAACATTGTTGTTGTCATATCGGATGGGGGAACTCCCCTGTTGACAACTTCTGCTATTGTAAGTATCACTGTAACAGATGTAAATGAGACCCCGCCCGTCTTTGCGGCAACGCCATTTACAGCTACCGTAGCAGAAACAGATGTTGCGGGTAAATCTGTATTAACAGTTGCTGCAAGTGATGCAGATTCTGGTGATAAGTTGACCTACACGCTATCGTCCACAACGTACTTTATTATAGACTCTAGTGCAGGACTGATAACTTTAAACAGTGCCATGACCTCTGCCATTAGTCCTTACACTGTCAATGTGTGTGCTACAGATTCCAATACCATAGATGCAGTAAAGCAAACGTGTGAAACCATGACAGTCACAATTACCGATTCCAATGACAATTCACCAGTATTCAACCCAGCAGCATATACAGCCACCGTCAATGAAAATGCTATAAACGGCTTCAATATTCTTACAGTAACAGCCACGGATGCAGACACTGGTGCATTTGGAACTATTGTTTTCTCAATTATGGGTGGAAATACAAACAACGTATTTGCTATTGCTGTCGGGGCTAACCCCGCAGAAGCTGATATAACGATCAATGACCAAACCTTCTTGGATTACGAATCAATTACGTCATATTCGTTAACAATCGCGGCCACAGACGGTGGCGGAAAGGCCACTGCTGTTCCGGTCACAATTTCCGTTACTCCAATCAATGAAGTAGCACCTGTATTTACGCCAGCAACTTCTACACAAAACATTCCTGAAAATTCTGCATTAGGTTCTGTGATACTAACTTTGGCAGCAACTGACGCTGACAACGGTGCAGATGGAACTATTACATATTCGATAATATCAGGTGCATCGGGTAAATTTGGCATTGATTTAAATACCGGTATTGTATCTGTGATCGGAAGTTTAGATAGAGAATTAACGCAAACATACTCCATCATGATACGTGCAACTGATGGTGGTACTAATCCGGCTGCTATGACAGGGACTTATGCTCTAACAGTAAATATAGATGATGTAAACGACAACACGCCATCCTGTACCCAATCTCTTTATACTACAGCTATTCCGGAAAACACAGCACCGGCTGCTTCTATAGCACAGCTGGTCTGTTCAGATCTTGATCAAGATCCAGCTTCTTTGAATAATGTTTTAACGTATACTGAAAACGCGGCTAGTGATCCTGGTAATCTGTTCCAGGTTAGCACATCAGGATTAGTGACAGTTAGTGCTGGGGCTGTGTTTGATAGGGAGACTCTGGACAACTACCAATACAGCGTTACAGTAGCAGATCAAGGCACCACTCCCAACGCCATCACTACTGATGTTTATATAGTCATAACAGGTGAGTACATGCACTCCCTTAATGCGGATTTGAAATAAGTTTTGAAGTATTGTATATATTTTACAAGTTAAAACTAATTGTTTTCAGATGTGAATGATAATTCTCCAGTATTTACTCCAGCTTCCTATACCAATAGCCCACCGGAAAACCAAGCTATTGGCTCAACTATAGTTACCATCACGGCTTCGGATGCTGACATGGGAGCCTTTGGTAAGTTTGGTAACTTTCAATTAGAATTGTCTCAATTTTCATAACAACCACATTCGCGTTTTATATTTTCTATATAACTTTTCTTATTCCAGGTGAAATAGAATATTCTATTATTAGTGGAAATGCGGATGGAAAATTTATATTGGACACTATAACCGGGGCGTTAATTCTTAAAAGTTCTTTGGACAGAGAAACAACTGATTCATACACCATTGGAGTACAAGCAGCAGACAAAGGAACACCAGCATCGGTCGCTGCATCATCAATTACAATAACAGTTGCGGACTTGAATGACGAACCCCCAGTCTGCAATCCATTGGCTTACAGCGGTTCAATTCAAGAAGATGTTGTTACAGGCACATCAGTGTTAACGGTTAGCTGTCCAGACAATAAAGATCTAGCACCTAACAATGTCGTACAGTACTCAATTACAGCCGGTGATCCAAGTGCCCATTTTAGCATTGATATTAATACCGGAGAAATAAAAACCAATTCGGCTTTAAATGCCCAAGTTACTTCACTCTACTCAATAACAGTTACGGCAACGGATGGTGTGTTATCAACTTCCGCCTTTGCACAAATAACAGTGACTGATGTTAATCAACAGGCTCCTCAATTTAACCCACCAGGGCCCTACACAGTAAACCTTCCGGAGGACACGGCTTTAGGATTCACAGTCATTGATCTAGATGCTACCGACGCCGACCCCACTGCTGGTCCGTTTATTTACTACATCACGGGTGGTAATGCAGACAATAAATTTAAAATCGACTCATCAACGGGTGTAATTATTTTACAAAATTCTGTGGACGCTGACACTACTCCTAGTTATTCTCTTTCTATTGAGGTGGCTGATGGTGCGGGACCAGGAACTCTTACCTCAACATCTGCCATAACCGTTACGCTTACTGGTATTAATGACAACAAACCCGTTTGCAATCCAGCAACTGTTTTCCAGGCTATACCCGAAGGCTCGATAGCTGGAACAGTAGTCACGACTTTAACATGCACAGATGCCGACATACCAACACCTAGTCTTGTTTATTCGATATTAAACGGGAATGCTGGGGGTGAATTTGCTTTGGATTCTGCAACAGGTAAAATCTCCCTGACAACAGTTGCATTCGACTATGAAACAAAACAGGCGTTTACATTGGAAATATTGGTGTCGGATCAAGGTACGACACCTGGTTTATTCACTGCAACTGTTCAAGTAGCAGTAACACCGATAAATGAACACAATCCCGTGTTTACTGGAGCACCCTACACTACTACTCAACCGGAAGATGTTGCTCAAGGAACAACAATAGTAACATTAGCTGCTACTGATAATGACCAGGGATTACAACATGGGATAGTTAGGTACAGCATAGTAGGCGGCGACTCGGGTGGGTTCTTTACAATAGGTATTACCTCTGGTGACATCCAGGTTGCCAAATCCTTGGATTTTGAAACGGCCCCTACACATACATTGACTGTTAGAGCAACGGACGACTTTGCGGGATCGGGTTCTGAAAGGTCAGTTGATACAACTCTCACAATAACTGTCACAGATATAAACGACAACAGTCCTAAATTCAACCCAGACTCTTACTCAGCGAGTGTTATTGAGTCAGCTACTGTTGGAGCAACGATACTTGCTGTAACGTCAACGGATGACGACAGTGGCGTTAACAAAAATGCGGTATATTCAATAACAAGTGGGAATGCTAACGGTGACTTTAATTTTGTAAATAATGAATTAGTTCTCGCAAAAACGCTGGATTTTGAAACGGTAACAAACTATAACCTAGTAGTTCAGGTCGTTGATCAAGGAATTCCAGCTTTAACAGACACAACAGTAATAAGCATAGCAGTACAACCAGTAAATGAAGATCCACCAGTCCTAACAGACACAAGCTCAACTGCGACTATATCAGAAGACACGTCAATAGGAACAACACTTTATAAAGCAACTGCTTCTGATAATGATGCTGGTACAGATGGCAAAATCACATATTTTATTGTCAGTGGAAATACAAATTCCGCTTTCCTTATTGATGATACTCTTGGTGATTTAATGGTTTGGTCTCAGTTAGATTTCGACACTCCACCGCAGACTTACATGTTGGGGATAGAGGCTCGAGATGCCGGAGGGATGTCGGATTCTCTAACACTGACAATAACATTAACGGATGTAAATGATCACACTCCGTTATTTACCCAAAATACATATAACGCAGCTATAAATGAAGGAGAAGCTATAGGAACATCTGTAACCCAGGCTGTAGCCAGTGATGCTGATTCTGGTGTAAATGGACAAGTCACATATTCAATAGTATCAGGAGATGGACAGGCAAGTTTTGGCATTATGCCAGCAACTGGCGTTATCAATACTCAAATATTATTAGATTATGAAGTTAAAACTTTATATTACCTGGTTGTACAAGCTGTGGATGGTGGAACTCCGGCATTAACGTCTTCTTCCTTAGTTAAAGTATCTATCAACGATATCAATGATAATCCACCTATATTTTCGCCAATGGATTTTACAGTTAATATACTTGAAGATGTCCCCGTGGGAACGTCTGTCACAACAGTTAATGCTAAAGATGCGGATTCCACAGCTAACAGTAACAATATTTTTACTTATTCACTTACGGATGCTTATTTTTCTGTGGATGCCAATACTGGTGAAATAATGGTTACGGCAGCACTTGACAGGGAAACTATTGCAAGGTAAGGTCCATTTTATGACACGCTCTTTAATGCAAGTTGTTAAATCTGAGAATGTTATTTTTATTAGTCAATGCACGTTGTAGTCATATTGATTTTTATTGGTTTCTATTTTTTTTAGCCACATACTAACTTTACAAGCAACCGACCAAGGAACCCCTGCGATGACGGGAACAGCTACTGTCACCGTTCTCTTAGATGATATCAACGACAATACCCCCATTATAACTGGTACTTACGATACAAATGTAGCTGAAGACAAAGCTATTGGGACACTTATGTTTACGGTAGCAGCAACTGATGCGGACTCTGGCAATAACGGTAGATTGACATACACCATCACTAATGGCAACACAAACACAGATTTCAAATTGGACGCCAATGCTGGTGTTCTCCAGGTAACAATATCTTTACAACTTCTGCATTAAATGCATACTTTACCATGCTTTGATCCGATTCAGTAACCACGTGTTCTACATTTCGTCAGGGCAGTGATGCTGTCACAGTTATCGAGGGCGTGTGATTACTAGAGCAGCTAATATCACTTACCACTGAACTCTTCTAACCACTATATCCCTAGTGTTTGCAGATTGTCACCCACTGTTTGTATTTGCTGTTTTGTTGGGGCGAGGGGGGGGGGGGGCGCTGTTTTGGTCGTCAGTATCCCTGCTCTGTCTATTTGACAATATAATTTCGCAGGCTTCGATAATTGTTGGACTGTGCATATTTTGTATTTTAGCTTTAATCATAGCATCATGACTTGATTACTTCTTTCCACTTCCAGATAAATAAACAGTTAGATAGGGAAACAACTCAAAGTTATACATTACAGATAACTGTCTCTGATAACGGAGCGGTTCCAAAGTCTGATATCATCAGTGTGGTCATTACAATTGACGATGTAAATGACAATGATCCAGTTTTCACTGGACCACCTTACACGTTCACTATAGCCGAGAATGTGCCTAACGCTTCACCCGTAAATACGGTAGCTGCTACGGACCAAGATGTCGGTTTAAATGCAGCACTGGTTTATGACTTCGTTAATTTCTGGCAGGGAAACCCTACTCATTTTCTAATTGATGCTTCAACGGGTGCTATAACGACATCCGGTGCACTGGATAGAGAAACTAGCGACACTTACGTCATTCGATGCCGAGTACAAGACAAGGGATCCCCAATACGATCTGCGGACGTAAACGTAACAATTACGATACAAGATCTTAATGATAATACACCAGTTTTTGACTCAACTACATATGCCTCTACGACCATCGAGAACTCGGCATTCGGAACAAGTATCCTCCAAGTGACTGTTACGGATGCCGACATCGGTGTCAATAAAGCAGTAACGCTTTCAATAGACACATCGACGGCACAAGGAACAACTGCTGATACATTCCTGGCAATAGACTCGGCTAACGGAATACTATCTGTTAAAACGAATATTGATAGGGAATCCAACAACAACTTTTCCTTCCAACTATTAGCTGTTGATGGGGGAACGCCTAGCTTAACCTCCACAGCGACAGTAACATTAATAGTTAGTGATGTAAATGATAACAGCCCTATATTTAACCCGGTATTTTACAACAGCGAGGTTTCTCATGCTGGGCAGTGTTCAAGAGTTATTACTACAGTAACAGCTACAGATGCAGATGAAGCTATCAACGCACAGTTGGGATTTTTCCTGGCACAACAAAGTAGTCTGTTCACAATTGATGGTACTTCAGGTGAGTGACTAGAACAGTGCATTTTTAATTGCTTTGTAGAAAAAGACATATCACACTTCAATCTGTGGTATTATTTGGCAATGATTAAAGCTTAACGTTTGACTGATACTTCTGCAATAATTATATTTGAATTAAATTTTAATAGGAACTGTCAGTCTTGTTACATCACAGTCTGCAAATACCAACGCCAAATACACCCTGGACATTGGTGTAAGCGATAACGGCTCTCCGGTTTTGACTGCAGTAACAACAGCACAGATAAGAATCGACACATTTATCCCAAACACGGTAGCAGTTACATTCCAACTATCGATAAGTAAAGCTGACTTCGAGGCTCGCAGGGCCCAATTTATAATCGAGCTTAAAGCGTTGCTAGTGACTAAGTATCCTACCAGTCGTGTTGTTGTTTGGTGTGTAGAAGAACGGGAAGGAACATCTATATCACCACCGGCTAGAAGACGCTTGTTGGCTACAAGGTAAGTAAATGGATACAAAAAATTCAAGTTCAAAGCAGAGGGGTTTAACGTCCACTCGACACAACTAGGTCATTTCGGGACTAACATATGGTTTAATTTTATTTCAATAATTCTCTTGCGCATAGGGGTCTTTAGCAGTGGGAGGAAACCGGAGGACCCGGAGAAAACCCACGAGGTTGGACAGGCGACCCTACAACCAGGGCTTCGAGACCACGGCAGTCGACTCAACCCCCCCCCCCCCCCCCCCCGTGGAATAGGATCAGGTGTAAGCCTTGGTTACGTTGTAAAAAAGATCTGTATGAACACCGATCAGTGAGAATCTAGTTTGCTTTACTCCGTATCTTGATCTATATCCATTTCTTTTTTATGCTCCAGCCCAGTAAATGTTCACACCTACGTAGTTGCAGATGATATTACAGATAATCAAGCTAATTTAAACCAAGGAAAGACGTTTTTAACCTATGATCAAATATTATCAGTGACAACGTCAGACGCTGCGACAGGAACTCCATCCAACTCTATCTCAGGTCAGAATTAAAATCTGTTTATTCCCCGACCCTGTAGTCAATTGTAACATCATTTAAGACGTACTAATAGTAATAACCAAAATAAAAAATATGTTGACAAATATTAACCTTTGATGGAATAACCTATTATTTAAAATTTATTCCTGACCACGGTCAGTATGGAAAATATTGGTTTTCTTGCACATAATACAATCTCTTTTAAGTTAAATTATGTGGTGAATAACAACCTCTTTAATTTCTAATTAAAGGTTCGGCTGGGTGGAACTATTACTCTGTTGAAAAGGTGACAGCTTACGTGGAAGAAACAACGGCATGGGAGCAGACACCTGTAGGAATAGCAATTATTGTTTTATGTTGTCTTGTGGCTTTGTTTTTGATTGGTCTTCTAATATTTCTATGTTGCAGAAGACACAGAAAGAAAAAACGGTAAGATCAACTTTTGGGCAAATGTCACCTCCTCGTTTGTTTTTAAGATGGACTACTCGATGTCATTAATATTACGGACTTTGTTCGCTATTTTAATAATATGAACTATGCTTTTCAAGACTCTGCGGTCGGTCATTTAGGGTTTCCCTATGTTACATAACAAATTTGAACTTTGCATTCCCTGTATTACTAACACGGGTTTTAGCTGCATAACAAATTGTACCTTTACATTCCCTATGTTAGGCCTACTGACACATGGGACACATATGTTTAGCTGCATCATTTTTTTTAGCTTTACATTACCTAATTTACTGACACCGGTGTTTAGCTACATAATAATTTTAGCTTTTCATTGTCTATTGTATTGACATCGTCGTTTTGTTGCAATAAAATGTATCTATATTTCTGCTGTTTCTTAAATTCCCGACATTGTAAAATTGAATGTACTACACTTAGTTCGATCTGATTCTTTAAAAGATAAATTTTATAATTTCAGTCCAATTACTCCCGTTAAACCACAGTCCATGCAGAAGAATCGAGAAGTCTTAGAGAAAGCTGCCCCTGTATTTGTTTCAAAACGAAGTAAGAACATGATCCTTTCTAATGGGTATAAATTAAAAGATGTAATCCTATCCAAAATACCCATACGCATAGACCAGAATAAAATTGTACCAATAGCATTATTGTTTTTTTTAAAACAAGAGAAATGGTAGACTTGTATGTTTGGGACCTGCTTACCACCCATTATCCTTTGATAATTTATTTATAAAACTTTCCTAATGTTGTACCATCTGTCTATAAACAGACGTCATTAGCTAAATACGATTGGTGCAAATCTAACATCAGCTCTGTTCTCTTTAAAATTAAAGTCCAGAAACTAAAAAATCAACATCAGCGCGGCGTATAAAGGACGTACTCCATACATAAAGAGACATTACTCGAAATTAAATGGAATGGGGTTTAACGTCTTACTGTTCTCCATAGTCTGGGCTATTAAAGACGGGACATTAGTCGTCAACAAAATTTGTGATCAACCTTAATCACACATACCTGGTCGATCTTGTTAAATCTTCAAAAAAATGCCAACATGATTGATCGAATATATATTGAACGACTACGGTTTTGGTGTCTGTGTAATATTGGCCATCAGAAAATTATTCTCTTTTTCTTTGTTCAACTAAAAATACAGAACGAAGGAAAGATCAAAATAACAGTTAGGTTACTTTCTCTATTATTTTGTAATACAAATACTCTTTTTAACAGATAATATTCCTGATTTAAATTTAAATGAGAAGAAACATCCATTACCAGCAGTTTTGGCTTTACCAATGCCTACTGTAGTTGGTGTGAGTTTTATAATTATTTTGTTACATTCTCTTTATTATTAGCTTACATCTGATCAATATTAAACTAAAATAATAGAGCAGCAATAATATACATGTAACATAAAGACACGTTAATCAGTCGGTCTTCTAATGATGCACAAAAAAAATAGAAATAAATAACAAATACAGCCCCAGATCAACAATCAATGTTGTTGGAAAAATGAGGCAGTGCGTTAAATCAAGTCTCTGTGGTTATAAAGTAGGTAGTCTGCCACATGAAAATGGCTAACCAAAAAGACACGTAACTGGTGCATTTTTCTAGAGTTTTAAGCATAGCGAAACCAAAACCGGTATGAATTCGGATTATTTTGGACAAAGGGGTCTTAAAACTGTTAATCATATGAATGGGTAGTATTAAATGTTCTACTCAAATTTTTTACAGACATACGAAAAGAAGCCATTCAGGGAACAGGTGTGGGGAGCACCAGACGATACTAAAATACCCGTAAGAACTCCGCGAGTCAGCAGATCACCTCGAACCTCAGATTCAAATCCCAGGACGCCAAGGAGCTCTTCTTCTGTGAGACAACCTGCTAAACCACCTGGAAGTGGCGGAGGTAACTCTGAACGTGTACCAAGAAATATTATAATTGAGCCAAAAGAACAAGTCGATAAAAGCTTTCCCACTGTCATCCGAGAATTTGATGGCAGAGCTGTAGATCCAGGTAAGTTAGTACATGCTTAAGTCGGCAATTAATTTTAAAACGACTAAAATGGGAGTTGTCTCCCTTACGTCGTATGGACTTATTCGGCTCCATTGGGATTCATCGATATATTTGGGTGGTTTCCGGGACATTTGAATTGGACACAGGAGTGACAGGACACCATAAATTCCTACGCTGATTACCCGAAGGAATATAGTGCAAAAGTTATTAATAGTCTGTCTCTCCCTTTGACCTGTATTTTGAGATTTCCATGGTGAACATCATACATGCTTTTGAAGTAGTGGTTGTCACATGTTGCTCCATCTGTCACATTTGGAAAAAGTCAGAGGGAAGAGAATTAACATTAACGGGGAAATTAATATTGTACCGTGTACAATGAATACACTGGAAAGGTGGGTAAACTGGAGTGGGAAAGGTTCTGTCCCATTAAGATGTTTATTTTTAAATACTATCTGTTTACTTCTTTAGGCTTTGCTTATAATTCGGAACTGAAACATATATATTATATTTATATTTCAATAGTTCGCTTACGCGTGAGGTCTGTGAGAATGGGGTGTTTGGGGAGATGGGGGGCGTGTCAGTTGATGTGATACACGGCGCACACGTTAGACCACACCTCCCTAATCAACCCCTCCCCTCCATCAACATTAATGATGCTTTCCATGACCATAAGGGAAAGCGCAATTGTAATTAATACATATAAATGTACACCAGTTGGGTAAATTGTGTAAATGTTGAGTTATTAAAATATATTTTTATTAAATTCTATCTTTCAGCTACAGGAAATGTATATCAGTATAATACAAAGACTAATGAGCGAAGATGGATATCAACACCAGATGGACATGATATCAAAGTGGATATGGTTTAAAATTAAATGATTCTGAAAATTTATTGCAAAAAGTAGAACAATGTCAATGTAAAGTTACTGGTCCGAGATAGACCTAGGACAATAGCCACGAAATCAAAAATTAAAATATTTTAAGAATGCTAAAAGTTAGAATTTGCAATAGAGTTTTAATTCTTAGCCAATGAAAATGTTGAATTCTTCAAATATTTTAGTTTCAGTATTCATGAATAAGGCCCTTGTTCTACACATAAATTCTAAAAATTCGTATCGGTCTTATAATCCACATTTCAAGACGTCCAGTGGATTTCTTCCCAGATACTTTATTTTAATATCTAATTATGAAATCAAGATGTGTCAAACTCTACAAAAAAGTTCTCCTGTGGAAAGGGTGTGGTGTAGAATTTGTACTGAATGTAACTTTAATTTAGCTTGAGTTTTAATTCCTCGGTTCCGTTATTTCTTAATATTCAATGATCGTTTTTAAGATTTGATGATTTAGAAATCAAATATTCTAAAATCCTCAACAATTTTGGTACAGATTTTTCAACTTGATTCTACAATACAAACGCTGAACAAAGTCTGCTGGCAACCCTGCCTCCTGCATAATACCCTTACTATCATTGGTTTTATATTAAATAAAGTATATAACTTCAGAGAAAGTAAACCATGAACATAAGTCTATTGGTATTAAAATAATACGTCATGTCAAGTTCTTTGGTGGTAAACTATTAACTATGCAAGAGATATCAGCCTGTTGAGTTTTAACAAGTTTACTTTTTTAAAGATTTTTTTCCATTCCTTTGCTGATTCCGATACCTATTGATAATTGATTCTATCTATTATATTATTTCATTTAAACGTGCCAAATAATTTTAGTGTCTGATTTATGTTGTTTGTGAAATATATCCGTCCAATAGTTTATTCACATTTAAATATTCTTATAGTTTTATCGTTGTAAATGACGTACCATCTTTTGGTTATTTTTTCGACGTTGCCCTTTCACTTTCAAGATATGTAGAGGACAAAACTTATTAACTGTAGAAAAATTAAATATTCAATATTTCAGATCAGTTTCAGCGGTTGCTGGACAGTTTTTATCACTCCTCACCGAGAAATATCCAAACTTACCCCCCCCCCCCCGCTCTGTCTTTTGGTATGTAGTTGTTCGTATTTGGTTCATACAATAATCAGGGGTTTAACTGCTGTTTCTGTGATACACATTTTTTATTTATAGACAGATATATGTTTTACAAAATAAACTTCTTTTAAAGGTGATACGTTGTTGGGTTTTGCCTGGAATTTACTAATGCAAAATACCCAGTTGCTTTTTATTTTACGAATGTCAAATCATACAAATCCATATTATTATCTCCGTTGTTTCATGATGCATTAAGTATACGTGTGTGGGGTAATAAATCTACTGAATGCAAATGGTGGATAAGCTGAAATTATTCAAAATCTCACAGTATAAGTTTACTTTTCATCAGGGTTCAAAGGTAACGAGATACTGACATGAGATGATGTGTTAATTATGTAGCGAAATCTCTAATTATCCTCTAATTATCACCTTTCTCAACAGGTAATCAAACCTGTAAATAACTCTCTCATCTCTGCAGGGTTAACTAAGATTTTGTAGCGATTTTAAAATCTGTCCAATTTTATTTTATAACCATGACTTGCTATAAGTCTGGTTTACTGCAGAGGTAATTTAATTCGGTGCGTGGGGTAAGATATACCTAGCGTATATTCCTTTTATTATGAAATGAACTGAAATGGGGTTTAGCGTCCTACTGTTCTGCTTCTTTCATTATGATTCTAATACAAATTATCTAATACTCAGTAGTCAAAGATTTGAATATAGGCAATACTGGTGGGGTAATCGTAATGAACTAATATGAAATGAAATGCATGGAAATTCCTATTGTTCTGCTATGAGAGAAATAATGCCCGGACTGCGGGACTACGGCCTACTCTTATTTTGAATTCCAAATGTCAAGGGTTCTTTTACGTGCATGCAAGTATTTACACCCCGATGAACTTTCTCGGCAAACACCGTAACCGAACACGGGACCTCCAGTTTAGCGAGCCGACGTCTTATTCGCTGAGCCTTTGTAGCTCCCATACTAAAATGAAAAGGGTTTTAACGTCCTTATGTGCTGGATAATGAAGACTGATATATGCTATGGAATGTTCTATGAGGAAAGTTTTGCCCAAATAACGGTGTTTTCAACTGCAACGGGTTCGTTTGCTTCCAGACCAATGTGTACACGGGTCGGGTCCTGTATGTTTTGTCTCATCCGAACGAATAGACGTTGTTCGTTACACCGTTGTTCGTTAAATCCGCGCCAGGACACCGCCGTGAATTTAATGATGAGATTCGGTATTTCTTCAAATTCTTAGTAAACCTTGAATAATTTTGAATCGATGTTTCTACGCCGTATAAATTTTCTATGCTATATGATGTAATGATTGATGGCTGTTCGCTTTGTCAGTGATTGTTCTCATTAGGAGATTGGCACGGCTCCATCACTGGTTTGTGATACATACGTCACTCACACCTGCAAAATCATGACGCATGTAAACATGGCTAATGGCTTGTCGATGAACTTTCATGAAATGTCAATTATACTTGGATCTATTGTTAAAAATATGGTCACTTCTTATTTTTATATACTGGACAACAAAAGGGCAATAGCCGTGGAAATAATGAATTATTTATCGAGGCTTAAGACAAACAAGAGATTTGGCAGACTATCAAAATGATTTGTAATAATATCGATTATTGTGCGATTAACATTTCTAACCTACAAAAAACCCTATTGTTTCCCTTACAGAAGCCACCCACAGTCTTGTTTAAGAAAACTTAGACCATCACAAAGTTTAGTTTAAAGTAACTGTGGGTGACATGCATTTTTCGGAAAATATCAATTTAATTTCTCACGAAATAATCTATGCTAACATACACCCAAATTTATTATTTAATTAAAAAAACAAAATCGAAATATCAAAGCTCTCAGTCGGATTAAAAACAGGCCCATCAATTAGATTTGGAAAAACATAAAGATGGTGGTAGGCTTGTTTACATAGATCGATGGATTTTTCAGTTCATCATATCTTTGTAAATACTAAACTGTATTGAAAAATGTTTGGACTGATACTCCCATGAAAGATTCAATTTTTACAATATTATAGTTTGTGAGGGATTCATATACCGCTCAAATCACGTCCAGGGACTTTAACTAACAAATAAGTATCATTTTTAATGACTGGAAGGACAGAAAAATATTTGCATGGAATTATTTGAATAAAAATTGCCCGATATCGTTTATTTTCACTATATTATGTTATATTAATTAATATCATAAGAACCATAAACAGTCAGATTTAAAAGAGCCAACAAAACGACTATCGAAGCTGTACGGCTATGGCACTTGAACGCAAGAATAAAAAATAAAATCTCCGGATTATGATAATATACGCAATCCAAAGAACTTTTATTTTAAGAAATTCTGGTCCAAATATGTATTTAAATCGGTCAATCTTAACTTTCATGGCGCCGGAGTTATGTGTCTTGGACAAATAATATTTGTAATAATAATTCTGTTTTATTTTCATACCAACCAGTCTATTCATCATGAAGGCTTCTTGTATCCTCTGGGACGCTTAAAGGTCGTATGGTTCTATTCTTTGGAACATTCAAATAGAGACGAAAATTAATGTAAACGCTCATGTTAATGTAATATGAATGTATATAAACTGCTTTATATTCCATTTTAAAAGAATTATTGCAATTTTTAATCAATTATGTTCGGTGAAATACGTGAACAGCCCAAATTGAACGACAGTCGTTTACGCCTGCTTCATCCGTACTTCTACACGTTTTTTTTTATTATTATGATTATTTTGTCGTTTGTGAATCAGCCATTACTAATTCCTTCCGCAGTGTCCTCTAGGATATGTTTTTCTTTATTCATTATACATCATTATTGAATTCTAATTCGTGTTTTTAATTTCGAATATTATGGTTTGGCTCTTTTAATTATATAACAAAAACGTGAAGTCTTTACATTGGCATTGTACAGTGCATAGTTTTTGACTTCTCGAATATATGTGAACCCCATGGCTTGATGTGCCTTTAACTTTGGCACTCTGAGTTTGGCGACTCTTTCGCTTGGTAAAAACAATCGAATTACATCAATTAAGTGTGCAATTAGTTCGGGCTTATAATTCATTAGTTGTGATCTAAACGTTTTAGCTGAAAAATATAATCTTCACCGTAGCAAAATATTGACTGATCTTTTTAAAAGACGGTGTACTCCCTTAAAAAGGTAGATAACATATACAGTGTGTGTGTGTGGGTGTGTATGTGGGGCGTTTTATCTATATCTTTACCACGTGTTGTTATTGATAGCTAATATGATATTATTAATAATATTCATAAAGTAGTTCACAGCGGTAAACTTAATAACTACATTACAATATTTCTGCATTGCTTATTTTATAACGTAATGATAAAATGGTATAATGCAATTTAAATAAAAATGAACGGAGATATGTCAATAAAATTGAACAAAATTAATTATGGAAAGAAAATATATTAAAATTAAGGAAAGAATTTTTCTCTATTAAGATCAGAGAAAAAAAAAACTATTAAAACAAAATAACCATTTTCTATTTAAAATTAGAAAGTGAACATAATTTCATTGTTAAAATTAGAGAAAGAACCTTTTACTGCTAAACTTAGAGAAAGGACATTTCGCTATTAAAATTAAAGAACGAGCCTCTAACTATTAATAACAGAGAAAGGGGGGGGGGATTTTCCACTGTTAAAATTAGAGAAAGAACTTTTAACAGTTAGGAGCCACGGTGGCTCAACGAGAAAGATGTGGCTCGCTAACCTGCAGGTCACGTGTTCGACCCTGCGTTGGCCGAGAAAGTTTAACAGAATTGTCCGACGTGGTCCGTCTTTGTCAGTGTTGCAGGACAGCGTATAGTGGTTCGGATGGGACGAAAAACCGAGGTCACGTGTACACATTGACGAGAACGTAAAGGATCCCTGAAAGTTGGATCTCTATATATGAGTAGGCCGAATAGCGCCGCTGTCAACGCAGAATTCCCTTATAGCACACTGTATGGCATATGCGCGTCTTCATTATCCCAGTCGGTACAAAACAGTAAACTCCATTATTTTCATTTCCTTCATTTCTTTCCCTGTAAAAATTAGAGAAAGGCCATTTTACTATTAAAATTAGAGAAAGAACTTTCCACTGTTCTAATCACAGAAACTTCACTATTAAAATTACAGAAAGGATCTTTCACAGAAATAATTACAGAAACAATATTTCACTTTAAAGACAGAACCTCTAGCTACTAAAACTAGAGACAAAAAAACTTTCACAATAAAAATTAAAGACATAACCTCTAACTATTAAAAATAGAGAAAGATCCTTTCGCTATTAAAGTTACAGAAGGGACCTTTCATTATTAAAATTAGAGAAATAACATTTCACTATTAAAGATAAAGAAATAACCTTTCACTGTTAAAATTAGAGAAATAACACTGTTAAAATTAGAGAAATAATATTTCACTGTTAAAATTAGAGAAGTAACCTTTCACTATTAAAATTAAAGAAACGCATTTCACTATTAAAATTAGAAAAAATAACCTTTCACTGTTATAATTAGAGAAATAACCTTTCACTTTTAAAATCAAACTTCCAATGTTAAATTTGGAGAAGTACATTTCAGTATAAAAATGACAGAAAGGACATTTCACTGTTAATGACAGAAATAACCCTTCACTGTTTAAATTACAGAAAGAACATTTCACTATTCAAATTAAAGATAGGAACTCTCCATTAATATTTGAGAAAAAAACTCTCTATTAAAATTAGATAAAATAACTCTCTATTAAAAATTACAGAAAAAAATATTCCCTGTCATAATTACAGAAAGATTCTTTCCCTATTAAAAGTAAACAAAGAACCCCTAATTAAAATTAGAGACAGAACCTATAATCTAACTATTCAAACTACAGAACGTAAATTTAACTATTAAAATTACAGAAAGAATGTTTAACTGTCAAATTTGAAAACCTTTTAACGATCTGAAAATAGAGTAAATTAATTTGAAGTCACTCAGAATACGAGCGGGGTTTTGGTGGCAGATAATTTAATTTTAACACGAAAGTTATTTATATAAGACAGAGTATTGTTCTGTTAAACGTTAACTATACGTGTATACTACCATATCTACACTGTAAAACTTTTTCCGTA